CCTCAGGCCATCGCTGCTCCCCCGGGGCCTTGCCTCCGTGAAGGTGAGCGGTGGGTGGGGGCGTCCTGGGGCGGCGCCCCGCACTCGGGTCTTGGCCGCGGTTCTCCTCCGGCCTCCTCGCCCGACACAACTCCTGGGTTCGAGGCCCGCAGCAGGGCTGGCCTCGGCGTGGACGACCCCGGCCTCCTTCCCCGAGCTGCGCCACCCGGTGCCCTCGCGACCCCTGAGGCGCCGCCGCCTGAGGCCCCGGGCTGTGGAGGCGCTGCTCCTCCGTCTCCCCCCCACCCCGCGAGTCTCCCAGCGCTGCGTGGAGGCCCCGGGTGTTTGGGGCCGGGGAAGAGGGGGTGGAGAGGGCCGGGGTGTGACGCGGCTCCTGTCGCCGCCGCCACCCTTTGGGGCGTCCTTCCTGCGGCGAGGAGGACGCCCAGTCACTCCGGCGCTGCTCCAGCCGGGAGGGGGAGGGGTCTGGCCGCCGGAGCCTGCGGACCTGACCCCGCGTCGAGGGTGGAAGCGGGTGCCCCGGGAGGATGCTTCCGTGCTTGCTCATTCCCCAGGTGCTGGCCTGCGGGACCGCAGCTCCCTGGAGGACGGGCGGTGGAGGGATGGATGCCGCCCCTTGGAGAGCTGAAGGGTGGACGTGCGCGGGCTTGGTGTGGGGAGGGCGTCCGTGTCCTCCGGAGGATGAACCTCTTCTACCGCCACACCGCGGCTAGCGGAGCAGAACTGGCCGGGAGTGTGTCCTTTCCAGAGGAGTCGGTGGCCCATGCCTGAGGCAGCTGGCCTCGGCCTGCAGGTCATCTTCCCACCTGGAGGCCCAGGTGCTGGCTTCTCCTTCCCAGGAGGGAGGTGCTCCACTAGAGACTCCCTGTCACTTTTTCACTGGCACCTTGGACAGAGGAGGTTGGGATTAGTCCTCGCTACTCAGCCCTGGGGGGCCAGGGGTGAAGAATCGAGGTATTGTAGTCACAAGACCAACATTATGTAACTGCAGGCGCTCTCCTGGAGAGCAAGGTGGCTTTTGATTACTGTGACAAAGTTGTTCCTTTGGACTTTGGGGATGAGGCAGTGAAGCTGGTGAGTTTGCTGGGAAGACAGCTCCAGTTTCATACTTTGTCCCAGAGGTCTGTAACTCGGCCCCACCCCTACCTTGGGTTTGTAGATAGTGCCTCCTTCCAGGGGAAACCTGGACTAGGCCACCAGGTGACACTCACCCCCCCAACCCCCCCACCCCGTAAAGACCCTTAAAGAACATTCTCTCTGCCATGCTGTTGTGCCTTTTACTAAAACCCACAGAAGTTGCCCCATTTACCCTAGTTGAGTCATTCGTTTATAAAGTGAACATGTTGATTTGGTCAAGGTCATATAGCTAGACAGGCCTTGAAAAGGGTTCTCCTGACCTTTCCTCAGTACCAGGTGGTGCTCACAGACTCCTTTTGAAGGTTGATTTTTTTTTCTCAGGGATGTAGGGGGCAGAAGGTGCTGGTCCACTAACCCTTTGCTCAGTCAGCCTCTGCTTGAAAGTATAATCAACCCTGCTTGGTTTGATCGTGCCAGACAAAGGTGCCTTGGATCAAAGACTGCCTGGTTGGCAGCTGGCAAGCTTGCATTAGCTGCATCTGGTGCCGGCTGTAGGAGTAGTCATGAGCCCTGCTTCCCCTTTCAGCTCAACCAGCCCCACAGGTTAGTGGAGACTCAGAGATCAAGGTGGCCTGGAATGATACCAGGGATCTCTCCTGGAGCAGACAGGCCCTTTATAGCCTTGTATCAAACGGCTGGAACAGAGCTTTTGTCCACTGGTCTGGGCCAGTGTGTGGCACTTTTGGAAGTCAGATGTAGTGGAGGTGATGCTGTTGCTAACGGTGCTGTTTGATGGACTGTGGTCAAGGACAGCATAGGATTTTCAACTCATTGCTTCTGTTCCTACAAAGCACCTCATATACTATACAGCCTGTCAGCCAGACCCTGGCCACTCCATTGGGATTCCTGTCACCCTAGAAAGGAATTGTACCGCAGAATTCTGGTTGCTACAGGATGCATGCAATGGCCCAGGGAGCAAGAAAATAAAACATGAAGCAAGGCTGTTAAAATAATAGTAGTAATTCATCTTTTGCATCTCTGTCACCTTTAAGGATTAGAAACCTTACTATAAAGAACCTGAAAATAAACTTAGGCTACCGTCTTCCCTGACAACTACTCCACTAAGACATCATAATGTGTTCTTATGTAATTTTCTTTATAAGAACAAACACATGGTAAACTGAGTTTGGCTGATGGGAAGACCCCTATATAGTCTGTCCTTGTTTGCGATGTTTTCATGTAACTTGAGGTAATCCTTAAAGAAACTGCTTATTGCTCACATGGAAGTAATTCAGTGCAGAAAAGCTAAGTGATGTCCAAACCACAAGATTTTGTAGTTGGGACTAGAAGTCAGGCCTACTGATTCCTAGTCCACCTTTCCACTTTATACCAATGATGTAATAATGCCCATTAAATCAACACTTACTGTGTTTGGGTGTTGTCCCACCTGGTTTGCCTCAAGATAACCCTGCAGTCCCCATTTTAAGATGGCAGTATGAAAGGACAAAGGCTAAGTAACTTGCCTCAAGACATAGCTGATACGTAACATAGTGTAATATCTTGAATATTGGTGCTATGCAGAATAATCAGAAATAGATAAATTTAGTGTTAAAAAACCTAATTTTACATATAAAAATTGAAGACGTAATGTCTTTTACTATTTATCTCTTACTTCCCAGGCCTTGGAACCAAGTCTGTTAAAAGTTTGAGTCCCCTCTTATGCCTCATATCTTTGTTTCTGTTAACTTCACCTTCTGTTCTCCCTTTCTTCATTGAGGCCACACCAGCTGCTAATGTACATTGGTTAGATCATGGGTTTGTCAGCCTCACCTCTGCTTCTTCTGCAGTGTCACAATGTCTGACCGGAAGGCAGTGATCAAGAACGCAGACATGTCTGAGGACATGCAACAGGATGCTGTTGACTGCGCCACGCAGGCTATGGAGAAATACAACATTGAAAAGGACATTGCTGCCTACATCAAGAAGGTATTTGAGAAGAGGTGTGACTGGTGGCCTGAAGTGATGATGGGCATTGAACTGTGTCTGAGGAAGGGCTGGAGCAGAGATGATAGAGAAGCAGATAGATCACATGCAAACAAAACGCTAGGAACTTGCAAAGCATACAAATTAGGGAGTGATTCTTTATTGCCATGCGTTTACCTTGGGGGTTCTTACTAAGAAGCTGCTGGTTGTTTGTATGGGGTATGTATATGATAGTTACACGAATTGCAAGGCATTGGGGAGAGAAGCTTCAGTATTAATAACTGGTCCAGTTCAGAACTTACTCAAAATGAAGAACAAGAGTATTCAGACGGATAAGTGCAAAACAAATTTTCAGGAAGCTGCGTCATTTAAACTGGGATATACCTTTAATAATTCTCATGTTGGAAGTTTCCTTTTCTCTTTTTAAAAGTAATCAGGGCCCTCCCTGGTGGCACAGCAGGCTGAAGCGCAGCACTGCAAGCTAGCTGCAGCTGCTTCAGTACCAGTTCAATCCCCACTCCCGGAGCTGACCCACATGGCACAGCAGACCTCTCCTGTCTGACCCTCAACAGTGTACTTCTCAGTCTGCCTATTCCACCCCCCACTTTGTCTCTGATGAATCCTCTTACTGCCCCTGCTGCTCTAGCCTTTACCCTAGTTCTGTATGCATAAATAAATAAATCTTTAAAAAAAAATAAAAGTAATCAGATACTGCATCATCCCTTTACCCCTACATTCTTAAGGAAAAGAGAAGGTTGGATTTGATTGTATAATTCCTTTAAATAGATGAATAAGATTGGGGGAATACGTGTAGTCCTTGAAAAATTCCTACTAAATGGCTGAATGGATATGGCTAACATGGCAAAGAAATTGCTGGACTAGAAATGAGAAGTGATAACTAGAGTCCTTGACTCCCAGGCACAATTCCATGTCCATTGATCACTTTGACCCAGATTTTGATAGTCTGTGCTTTGACTACCAAGAAGGATGCCTGAGAGTAGTGGCATTGTGACCCATAGATGTGGTAGGGTACCTTTTAGTTTTACAGCACTCTGCTTTCCTATCCAGTTGGTTGGGATGTGTGTAGCACTAAGGCTTCTGGGAGTGCTGGCTTCTTGCTGAATGTTGGCCTTGCTATCTCTGTGAGGAGATACTGTAGGATCATGGGCTCTTAGACTGAGAAACATCCCTAGCTTATGCTGGGTTCAGTTTGCTTATTTTGCTGATGGGAAAAATGAGACCCAGGGAAGTAACTGTCTCCTATGTTACACAGGGTCTTGAGCCAGGATGACCTTTCCTCTGTTATCTACCACCTCATGGAATCGTGTGGTATAGGCTCTGTGTGGAGACTAAACTTAAAGTACAATTTGAATACCTGGGGTTGACAGCATTGATGGACCCATGGTGGAGAGCTTCTGTCCTTTCTATAGTAGGGTGCCTATAGAATTGAGTCATAAGCTTCCTGCTGTGTCCAGAGGATGGCTGCCCTCCTGACTTGGTCACAAGAATTTCCTAGGTGGTTTTGATGCTAAATTTGTGCCCTGGAGAAGTGAGGGGGATTGCCCTAATCTCATGACAGATATCCTTGTTCTGGTCTCTCACAGTCCACACAGTGGCACACAGTAGTATCTTTAATGTTAACTTACATGGAACTGCTTCCAGGTACTCCTGATGTTTAGTCCTCATTTCGCTCTAGGGCCCTGGTTCTTTGGCACTTTGAAATGTGGTTCAATAATATGGGAGGCAGCAGGTGGTGCAGGAAGTCTTGCTCCTCTGTTTACTAATGCTGTGCGCCTCTGGGTTGATCCTTTATTTCACTGGCTTCTCTGATTCCCTTACTGAAGAATCATAACATAGACCCAAGAGTAGAATAGCTAGAAGGAGGAGAGTTGATCAGGGTGTATAGGGTATAGAGTGCTAGCGAGAAATAATGGAGCCTTTGTGGTGCTACATTATTAATGCGGTAAGGAGTGTCCTAGCCAGCATTAGAACCTGAGCTCCTGAGGTTTGGGGAGCTGGGGCTGGGGGTGGGGTGAGGATGATAATTAAACCTGTCTTCTAGCAGTGACTTCCATTCTGATTTTTCATCCTTCAGCTGTCCTAATCACCTTTCTTTTCTCCATTTTTATTCTTTTAGGAATTCGACAAGAAATATAATCCTACCTGGCATTGTATTGTGGGCCGAAATTTTGGCAGCTACGTCACACATGAGACAAAGCACTTCATCTATTTTTACTTGGGTCAAGTTGCAATCCTCCTCTTCAAGTCAGGCTAGGTGGCCGCAGTGATGGTGTCAGTGGCGGCGGCAGCGATGGCAAGCAGGCGGCGTTGCTGGGACTGTTTTGCACTGGGGCCAGCATCAGGATGTCCTCTCCAATGGCTGTGCTACTGCATGGACTGTATACTCGATTTCATGTGTATGTCGCAGTAAACAAAACCAAACTTCTTTCTGTTTAGTTGCCTGGGGAAGAAGGCTGCTTTGTTTATTTTTCAAGACTTAAAAAAAATTATTTTGGTTGTGTTGCACTAGGAAATCTCCCATCCCTCCCTTTTTTCTTTCTCTCCCTGTACAAAATAAAAAGCCCTTAACAAAGCCCACAAGACTAGGAGGGCTGAGGAAAAGAAATAGGTTTCTGGAGGTGGAGCTAAAACTGTGCAGCTGTGTCTTCCTGGTGGTGGATGCTGCTTTGGGGAGGGCAAGATAGGCTGTGGGGGACAGTATTAGGACCCACAAGGAGAGAGAGATGGGGAGGTGGGTGGGGGTATTGATCTAGTACCAGGGAGAATATTCCACTGAACTGTGATTCCACGGCTTAGGGCAGAGAGGGTGGGATGGGCGGGTGGATTCTTTAAGGGGCCCTGAGACGTGTTTGTCTGTGGTGTGTGGGAGTGGGGAGCAGACTTGTCTAGCTGTCTTTGTCAGAAGAGTTTCTAAGTAAGGGCTGTGTCTTTGTGGGTTAATTTTTTATTCTTCCTGCCAGAGCTTATGCAAGGAGGATTTTGGGGGGTAGGATTAGTTTTATTTTTTTTTTTTCCTTCTCTCCTTCTGTCTGCTCCCTGCTTAGCCCTCGGTTTTCTCATTCCTCTGGAGTTCTCTTAGAGCAGCCCATTAGTTAGCTGACAAGGGAATTTCTGGTGACTAGTTCCTTAGTTAGATGTTAGCAATCAAACCAAATCAATGTCTCCCTTAATTCTCCTCTGTGTGTGTGTGTGGCGTGTGTGTGTTACTATGTATGTTTGGGTTAGATGGGAGGGTGGGGCAGGACAGTATGGAATCTCTATAGAGTGTGTGGGTAGATAGGATACACACTTAGCTCTAAGTGGGCCTTGATGTTTAAAAACCTAGGAGTAGCTATTTTGAGGGTGAAAACAGTTATCATTCCCCCCAACCATTTGGCCCAGACATTCTGCTTGCCCTGTGGTTGTCTGTTCTTGGGAAAGCTTTAGGAGGATAGCCTACAATGAGATGACCGTGATGCCATCTGTCCTGGAGCTGAGTCTTAGTGGAGAGGGCAAGTGACAGTGGATGGTTTCAGCTTCTTGTAAGAGATAAGTATGGAAGTGGTAAAGGCTTATGAAGGGGAACTAAGGATTAAAATGATAAAGAGTTATAGGGGGCTTCGGGGGAACTTGGGAGGCAATAAGTCTTGAATGATAGTCAGATATCAGGAGATGGAGCAGGGTAGCTAGTGGGAGGAGATTCTGAGGAAAGTGCTGGGGAAATCTTATGTGTTGATCAAATGGGTAAGGTAAGGGTGGGGGGAGTCATTGCTGACCTAGCTGCTGATTCTTGTAAATCACATTCAAAATTCTCGTGTTGATAACTATGGGTGGGTGGGGGTTGGGATCCAGCGCATTCTTTCTTTTCCAAGTCCATCCTTGGGACTGGTGGGGAGGCAGGAGAATGTGTGGCAAGTTTTCTTTTTGATGTTGATAGGTGGGTGGGGACTGGGATGGTGAATGTGTTCCCTATATCAAACACTTCAGTGGGCACAAGATCGATAGCTTGATTTTAGGTTTATTTTTTTAATGAATGTCCAAATCTGTGTTTTCCCCTGCCCTCCCAGATTTGTGTGGCCAGTTGGAAATGTCTGGTTTGTGTTCATTTCTCCTTCATTTCTGGAGCAGGGGCTGAGACCCCTCCACATTTCCTATGCTCTGCATCCATGCCTCTTTTGGACATTAAAGGTCGATTGATGCACTTCTGAGCTGTTTGGGTTTCTTTGGGGGTAAAAGGGCTAACCTGGTGGTAGTGTTGTCAAGAAGCAGGTAGGGGAGTAGAATGCAGGCTAGAGGTAAGACCAGACAGATACTAATTGGCCTTAATCGAATCTTGGGTATAGGAACTATGCTAGGGCTCCTTAAATGGGGGAGAACTAACCAGCAGCACTCACCCTATAAGGTTTCTTGGATCCTACCTCCCTTGGTATAGATGGTCAGATGATCCACGTATTTGGGTCTTTGATGTAATGGAAGCCACCTCCCTAGTGTCCAGATCCAAGATGACATTTTTCAACTGCTATGTTGAATCTGGAGGAACTTCACTGAGAACCTTAACCAAAATTCATAGCTTGCCTCATTCTTCCCTGATATCTGGAGATGGTCTAATAGCAAAGTTGTGCTCTAGCTACTCAGAAAAGGGAAAAGCTGATGATTTTCAGAAAGATGGAAGCTTGGTAGAACCAGGTGATTCTGTGACACTGGGTTATCCTACATACCTGAAGTTAACAGTACTGAGGTACCTCTGACTGTCCTGTCCTGCCCCTGAGCTCTGATAACGGCAATGACTATAATCATTGTGGAGGCAGCAGAGAACAATGCTTTCTACCCATTTTGTTAACTTACTCATTCAAAAACAGTTGTTTTTAGGTGCTTGGGCCTAAGGTGCTGTTCACACAGGAGAATCAGACAGGCATGCATGTTTTAATGGCATGCATGTTTTAATGGGTGGAACAGGCATACACATGAACCTTTTCTGTTGGCAATAAATTACTGCCAAGGAAGTAAAGTGGGTAATGTATTGATTGTTGCAGGTAGGTAGATTGGGTTTCTTCAGACCGCAAGTTGGTGGGCTGGATTTTGTGGAGAAGGCTGAATCTCGAGCATTGAGCTCTTAGTGGAGGATCCTAGGGACTCTAGGGCCCTAACTTCTGTTCTTGTCTTTGCTGGTGTGAGTATGTTGATGGAACTGAAATTAGAGTGAAGCTATGGTCCATATTTTGTCTGCAATGGAATGGGTGTCTTAAACTCCTCATCTTCCTGTCCTGAAGAGAAAGGTAGTCCCAGTGGCATCCATGGGCAATATATTAGTGCTCATCTGTAGGCTAATCCTGCAAGGCTTCCTGGAGAAGACAAGCCCACCCCTGGAGGACTATGAGAGGAAGGATTGGGGGGAGAGGGGGGAAGGTTACAGAAGGTAGATGGGACTTGAACAATAAAGGAATGTAGCCACAATCAGAACTGTGGCCAGAGGGTGTGGGAGCATTAATATCCCACCTTTCATCCTATTCTCCAGTCTTCTGGGAGCCTCCTTCTGATTGAACCTTACTGAAAACCAGATGGCAAGGTTGACAGTTCTTAGGGGAAAGCTCTCATCCCACTTCTGCCCCCAAAAAGTACAGGAAAGTGCTAAGTTGATAATGAGTCTAGGGAGCAAACCAACATAGTAGGGAATTACCTGTGTTGGACAGCTTATCTGACATGTCTGTATATCCTAAACTTTGTCCTCTAGCCTAGAACTAAGGTTTGTTTCCTAACTTAGCCCCTCACTTCTTTAAAGGGAAGCCTGTTGACATCCTCTGTGAAATATCCCCTCTACTAACCTTACCCACTTTAATTTAGCATAGCACCTGATAATACTGGACATATTTGTTGTTTACTTGTTGATCTCTCACAACTGGGAGTATAAGCTCTGTGAGAGCGGAGCAGAGCCTTTTGCTGCTTTATTTTCCAGTACATAGAGCAGCATCTGTTCTACAGGAAATACCTGCTAAATGTTGGTCAAATGAGAAGGAACAAGCCAGCAGAGGGCAGTCCCTCTGCCCCAGAGCAGTTTGGCCTTTTCTGAAGAGACCTGAAGCTTTTGCCTTGTCTCCTTGCTGTCCAAGCTGTCTGGAAAGGAATGAGTAGTCAGTACCCAAGTTGAGTTTTAAGCTTCAACATCTTCTTACCAGCTATTGAAGAATGAAGTGTGGTCATAAAGTACATTTTATTTTTAAAGCATTTCAGCTTGTCACTGAAGACTTTGAGTATCCCCTGGGCTAAAGCCCGCAGTTTAGCCAAAGTTTTAGATAAGCAAACTAAGAGGTATTGGGTGACTTGCCAAAGTTACTGTAACTAGTAACTGCTAGCGCCCAGGCATGTGATTCACCAGGCTGAACTGGATTTGACAGCAGTGGTTTCACTAAAACTACTTGAGATCATAGCTCCAGCTCTCTGAATTTTGGAACGATTTCCTGGGTCCACTGATTCTTTTTTCTGGGCTTCCTGTTAATAAAGGTAGGAAGGGGAATTCCCTGCACCTCATACTTCTCATTCCTCAGGAACTGAACTATGCTTTCCTCTTTTGAGTTCTCATGAGAGAGGAAGTGAATTCTGGATTTGGGAAAGAGGGCTAACTCCCAAGGTTCTGATTTCTCAAGCTTCCCCTTATCTGAAAGTACAGTCTCCTCACTTCCCTGGTAACAAGGAGTGAGCTGTTGAGGTTAATGTATCAATATGTGTATCTTAGTGATGTAAAGGGCTTGGTGTCCACACCACTACGCATACATACATGCTTATGCATAGACTGCTGCTGTGCCAATATGGATGTTCATAAGATCAAAGAACCCTTGGTCCCTGTGTTTCTCTCGTTTTGTCCAAAAGTGTGTCGTGTATGTGGTAAGGTTGCTGGACGTTGCTGTTTCAGTTTTCTAGAGACAGAACATGCATATGTGTAGCAATATGGGAAAAATATACAATCTAGCAAAAGTTTGGGGTTGACTCCCAGCTTCAGCACTTTTACACTATGTGAACTTGATCAAGTTATTTGAAATTCAATTTCTTCATCTGTAAATTGGGGGTAATATCCATCTACCCTAAAGGGTGGCAATGAAAATCAAATGACATCATGTATGTGAAAGTGTTTTGAAACTTGGAAGCAATGATAATGACTATACTGATTATTAGGGCTAGTGATCATAAGTTGGGGGAAAGAGAGGATTCTGGGTAGTCAGTTTCCCTGTACTGACCTTATCCGTCCCCGTCATATACCCATACTATAGAGAAGGAAATTAAGGACCAGACAGGGAAAGAAATTTACTTAAGGTAGCATGGATGTTTCAGACAATTGGGATATATAGAACATGGACCTTCGACTCCCATGCCAGGTCAGGTCTGGTTTAAGGTAGTAGAGGGGTCAACTTAACCACTAGGTCCTAAACTTCCTATTGCATTTTGAAATATGCCTTGTATTGGTGATTGTGTACAGTTCAGTGGTTTTTAGTGTATTCAGAGAGTTATGCAACCATCACCACTATATAATCCAGAATATTTTCATCACTCCCAAAATATACCCATTTATAGTGATTCCCCATTCCTTCCCCCTAACCCCCGAAACCTCTAGTCTACTTTCTAAATTTATTCTGACATTTCATATAATCTGAACCATACAATATGTGTCCTTTTGTGTTTGGCTTCTTTCACTTAGTGTGCTTTCAAGTTACATCTGTGTTGTAGCATTTATCAGTACTTCATGGAACATAATGTCCCATTGCAGACTATATCACATTTTGTTTATTCATCAGATGAGTGACATTTGGGTTGTTTCCACTTTTTGGCTATTGTAAATAGTGTTGCTATGAGCATTCATGTGTAATTGTGTGGACATATGTTTCCTATTCTCTTAGGGCATCTCATTTCATTTTCAGTTGGAATAATTTTTAATATTTAAATGCAACAAGTGAGCATTCACTTTTTTTCTTTAGATACACAGTCAAATCTAATAACCAAAATGCGCAGAAGAAATGAGCTCCTCTCTCTTCCACAGCCACTGTGATTAAAGCTGCTGCTGGTTCTCTCTTTCCCAACACACAAAGTACACAGTGACTACATATCAACAGAAATGTCATTTTGTATTTCATATTGTGTACACATCCCTCCCCAGTATCTCCCTTCTTAAAACAGTCATGAATGATCAGGGGCACATCCTTCCCACAGGGGCATATCAGTTCCAACTCCTTAAGACAGGGACAGAAATCTACCAGTCAGGAATAATATAGTGAAAGGGGTGGGATGATCAGAGCTAAACTCTGCATTGCTACACCTTGCCATCAGAATGAAGACAAAAGAAGAAAGGACAGTGTGGAGAGCACAGTTGGAAGTTGAGCGTTTCCATGAGGCAATGTGAAGTGAATTCATCCCACCAGGCTTATGTAGATCAGTGTACCAAAGTTTAACAACAGCCAAACAATCAGTTCAAACACTACTTTTCAAGGTAGAACCCCTCACATTCCTCCTAGCAACCCTGTATTAAGTCCTAGAAGTATCTGTGGCTGCTGCTGTTCCATTTGCAACTTCTCAGTCTCAAAGGCCACAAGGAAAACCAAGATCATGAAGGAAGTGGTCCCAACCCACAGGAGGCCATGGAAAACAGTGCATCTTATAAGCCACAAAAGCAGAGACCATTTGACAAGTGGTCCCTCTCTGGGAACATCTCTGTCAGATGCCAGAGTCTGAGAGACTCATCAGACTTATCACTGTCTTCTCCCTTCAGCTTCTCAGTCTTCTAGGCATCACTTTTTATTTATTTTTAAGATTTATTTATTTGTTGATACAGAACTGGGGTACAGGCCAGAGGCTCAGGGGCGTGAGAGGCTTCACCAGGGACAGCGGGGAACAGAACAGGCAGATCTACGAAGTACACTGCTGAGGGGAGCAGCGGGCGGTCAGGAGAGGTCTGCCACTCCATGTGGTCACCTCCGGGGCAGCCGGGAATCATCTAACGCATGCGGAAGTGGCTTTAGCATCTCAGTGCTGTGCTTTAACCCGCTGACCACCAGGGAGGGCCAGGCATCACTTTTGGCAACTAATTTGTCTAGGACAGGACAAGTCAGGGCTGGTGGCAGGCAGCCATGACTGTATCTCACTTTTTTAATATGTCAATTTTCTATCTTTTTAAAGTCTAGATTGAAATTGGCAGGGGTTTTTTTTCTGTAAAAGGTCAGGGAGT